CTCACTTTAAATGTGAGTCTCTATTTCTCTTCCTCGTTATGATCTCCACACCCCTCCCACCCAGTCACGAGAAGAAATAATCAGAGCCAGAAGCTTCCCTTGACCCCAGGCTCCTTCTCAGCCGGGGGCCCCAGGTCCCTGGCCCACGTGGAGATGTGCTTCCTGGCAGGCCTCCTCCTTACCACACCAACATTCTCCTGTACCTCCAACAACAAGGCCTCCCCTGCTCCCAGCTCTTCTCTCCTATCCCAGCTGCCTGGGGCACATCCTGGCAGGGCCTGACCTCTGAGAGCGTCAGAGGCCCCGGCCCTGGCTCCTGTCCCAGCGTGGCCAGATTCTTTTATTCAGTAGAGTGTCTCTCACCCAGGTTATTGCCTGGAATTCTTAGCTTGGGGTTTGTGACCTGGTTTTAAAATGATTTTCATAGTTGTATTTCAGTATCGCTAATTTTAGTTGGAATCCTATGGCCTTTACCTTATGCATTTAAAAGCATAATTTTGAGGAGGGGTCCCTAGTTTTCATTGGACTGCCAAAGGGGCCCATTACACCCAGGTTGAGAGCCCCTGATTTGTCCTGAGCGCCTGTTGAGGAGACTATGGCCTAGGCTCCCAGGGTGGGGGGTGCACATTCTACTGGGGGGAGGCCACACTTAGCAGATAATTTGAGCAGAGAGAAAGCAATAGCAAATATTGAGGAAGATCACGGAAGGCTTCTTGTAGGAGGTGGTGCCTAGCTTGAGCCTGGAAAGGAGCTAAGGATTCCCAGGTGCAGAGGGGCAGTCTATGTGGGGAGCTCAAGGAAGAGCCAGGGGCCATTTGGCTGGAAAGGATAGTGCGTGGAGCCTGATTGAGAGGCCATGTGGCCTAGTGATCAGAGAGCTGACCTTGGAGTCAGGAAGACCTGGGTTCAGGTCCTGGCACTGGGGCCCAGGAGCTCTGGGAGACAGCAGAGTGCAGAAAGGGTGCTGCTCTTCGTTGCCCCCACCGGAGGGTGGCTGGGAGCCAGGCTGTGGAGGGCTCTAAGTGCCGTCCTGAAGGCACTGGGGAGCCACTGAGGAGTCTTGATCACTGCAGGCCCTCGGGTTCTTGGGGAAAGGGGTGGCGTTTGAACTGGACCTTGGACAGGGAGGATATTGGGGTGGGTAGGGAGGTGCTGGGGAAAAGAAGGGGCATCCCAGTGGGGAGCCTTGAGCACCATCAGGGCAGAGAGCCCAGAGTGGTGCCCGGGGAGGGTCCCCAGTAACTGTGGGAGGGCAGGAAAGGAAGGATGGGGCTGGATCACAAAGGGCTGGATGGCCCGCGGGGGAAATTTGGACTTGATTCTGTGGGGAGCCAGAAGGGCAGCGTCTCCCTGGCCCCGGAAAGTATTTCATGGACCTCTCAATATCTCTCTGAGGAGTGGCCCCCAGGCCCCAGCGAGGGGCCTGCTCCGTCTTTGAACAGCTCTCGTTTTAAAGGTTTTTTTCTTAGATCAAGCTAAAAGCTGTCCCCAGCTGCCACCCGCTGCTCCTTGTCGGGCCTTTCAGGACATGCCTGCTGCTTGCTGTGGCAGGATTTCAAGGCCCCTTGATGCCCTGTTCCCCCTCTGGGGGTCCTGGTCCCAAAGCGTGATGGTTAAAGTGAGCACCAGGGGCTGCTGTGATGTGGACAGGACAGGCGCAGCTGTCCTCAGGACAACCTAGAGAGACAGGACTGACCTTTTAGAAAGCCTCCCCCACCCTGGGGCCGCTCTGCCGGGGGGTCAAGGATGACCAGCTGCCGTCCTAGCCATCCTAGGGTCATTGTCATTGACGCCATCGTCCTCATCTCTGTGAGTCTTCTGATCGGCGGCTCTCTGGTCCGTAGCCGTTCCCACAGAGAGGCAATGGGCAAAGCACCTACTGTGTGCCAGGTACTGTGCTAAGAGAGGAAGATTGAAAGAAGAGCCCCTGAGGCTCTCCCAGTCCGACAGGGGAGCACACAGATGGCCACGTACAACCACGCTATCTGTATCCAGAATAAATAGGAAATAATCGAGGGGGGCGATGCTCCTGTCACCAGGTATTGGAGGAGGCTTCCTACAGAAGGGGGCGTTTTAGCTGGGCCTCAGGAAGCAGGGAGGTTCGTAGACGCCGAGGAGGACGGAGCGTGCTCTCGGCCTGGGGACAGCGGGAGAGATGCCGGAGACCCGGGAGGCCCGCGTCACTGGATGGGAGCGTTCTTGGTGGGGAGCGAGGTGTGAGGAGGCTGGAAAGGCAGGAGGGGGCAGGTTAGGAAGGGCTGTGAGGGCCAGACACAGGGCTCCTGGAGGCCATAGAGAGCCACTGCAGTTTATGGAGTAGGAGGGCCGTGGTCAGAGTTGAGCTTTAGAAGACCGCTTTGGTGTCTGAGTGGAGGCTGGCCTGGACGCAGACCCCCCAGGTGTGAGGGGACGAAGGTCTGCGCCACGGCAGGGCGTGTTCCAGAGATGCTGCAGAGGCGGAAAGCCGGGGCTTGGTCACAGCTCGCGTGGGCCTGTGTTTTCCCTGAGTCCTCTCCGTCGTTTCTCATAGCACAGCGACGCTCGGTTACACTCTTGTGCCTCAGTGGGCTGAGCCGCTCTCTCCCTGGCGTTTTGGTTGGTTGGCTGCTGTTTTAAGCTTCCCCCAGGAGCTGTTGGGCGTGAAGCCGGGTCTGGTCAAATGTCTCCCACCCAGGCCTTGTGAAGCTGCTCCCAAAGCTCCCTTGGCACCTCCTTTGGGGATCCTGGCTCTGTCTGCCACCCCTCCCAGCCTGGCGTGCCCTCCAGGCATTCCTGTACGTCCAGGCCACGCGTGGTTTACGGCCCAGCACCCAGGACAGAACCCTGGGCCCCCTTCAGTGTAGACACTTCTTCCAGGTTGAAGTTGCCTTTGTTTTGTTTTGTTTTGCTTTTTGTTTTTGTTTGTTTGTTTGTTTTTTGCTAGGCAATGGGGTTAAGTGACTTGCTCAGGGTCACACAGCTAGTAGTTGTCATGTGTCTGAGGTTAGATTTGAACTCAGGTCCTCCTGACTCCAGGGTCAGTGCTCTATCCACTGCAACACCTAGCTACCCCCGAAGTTGCCTTTGCCTCCTTTGTCCAGTGAAAGCTTCTGAGCTGTGGGGTGGCCGGTCAGAGCTCTGTATCAGGAATAGGATTCCATGAGTGTGTGCGGGACTGATTCAGTCGGAGGTAGGGAAGTCAGCAAGGGGGATCCAGACTCCTTCGAGGCTCTGGGAGCAGAAGGGACTTGGGAGGGCTCCAGAACCCAGAGCAGCCAAATGAGGGATGTGGGTGTAGGGTCCTTGTGCTCAAGAGAAAGCAGGGCGTTCGCTTGGTCCCAAAGGACCGAGCTGGGGCCACGGGGAGGCAGATTGGGACTTAATGTGACTGAGAGCTCCCCAGGACTCACACTCAGCCCCCCAGCTCTTCTTGTTCAAAGTGTGCCCAAGGGCGTGGCAGCCCTGCCGCCGGCCCCATGCCCTCCCCTTCTTCCCAGGACGGAGCGGGTGGGGCCCTGCTGATGACATTAAGTCACTCTTGGGTTTCCATTTTCTCAGACTGGAGAGGGCAGGATAAAAGTGGCTGATGGGGTGCTAAAATCCACCGTGAATAAGGATGTGTTATGGGGCGTTCCTTGCACCCTGCCCGGTGCGAGACACTTTGCTTGGCTCTGGGCGTGCAAAAGTGAAATCACCGGGAGCTGACGTTCTTCTGCAAGAAGCCTTGTCCCCAGAGGAGCCTTTACTGGAGACAGAGAGAGAGAGTGATGGGGGCGGGGCAGGAGAGGCCCCCCTCTGGGAGGAGAGCCGCAGACCTTGGGCTCAGCCACCTGGAATCTCAGACAGGATTAAAGGGATCACTGGTGATGGATCCCAGAGAGCCAGTGGGACTTCATCAAGACCTGTTGGCTCAGTCAGGCGGGCAGTCAGTATTTGTTAAGTGAGCACCTACTGCGCCGCCTGGGCCTGGGGGATACAGAGAGAGAAAAGGGCTCCAGGGCTGCCCTTGAGGAGTTTACATTCTTTCAGAAACAACAGGTCATGTCAAGGTCTATACAAAACCAGTAATAGATAATTGTTCTGGATCAGGCCCAGTGAGGTTCTTAAGCTGAAGCTTAAAGAAAATTAGGGATTCTGACAGGCAAAAGTGAGGTGTTCTGGAATGCCTTCCATGCACGAGGATAGCAGTGAGGGATTTTGGAGCAGCAGTGAGGGGTTCTGGAGGTCCTTTGAGGTACAGGGACAGCAGTGAGGGGTTCTGGGGGGCCTTCCAGGCCCGGGGGCAGCAGTGAGGGGTTCTGGAGCAGCCGTTGGGGTTCTGGAGGGCCTTCCAGGCATGGGAGCAGCAGTGGGGTTTCTGGAGGGTCTTCCACGCACAGGGATAGCAGTGAGGGGTTCTGGAGCAACAGTGAGGGGTTCTGGAGGGCCTTCCAGGCCAACATAAGGTCACGGATAGGAGACAAATGACCTGTACTAGGAGCGGTGAGGCTGATTTGGCCGGACCAGAGGCCGGGAAGCCGGGGTCACTTTGTGAAGGGCTCTCAGTGTCTGGAGGAGAGGTTTGTGGGTGGTCCTGGAGGCAGCTGGACGCTGTGGAAGCCTGGGAGCAGTTGACTCTGGCCATAGGAAGGCTTTTCAGAGGTCAGATCAGAGGAGGCCGCCCTCCAGGCCAGGGGTTGGAGAGACTCCGCAGGATTGGACAGAGGCTGGGTCTGTGGGTGCCTAGGAAAGTGAGGCGTGGGGGATGGGGCCAAAGGAATGAGCCTGGGGTGCAGGGGGGGAGTTTTTGAGGGGCACAGTGATGGGCTCACCCCCAGACATTCTGAGTTTCCTGTGTCTGTGGGACTCCTAGGTAGAGGTGCCCAAAAGGCAGTCGATGATGGGGGGTGGTGGTGCATATAAATATGTAAGTCATCTGCAGAAAGCTGGCCATGAAACCCTTGGGAGCTGACGAGGTCACCGAGGGAGCAGAGAAGGACAGAGGCATTTAGGAGCCAGGATGTGAAGGATGAACCAGCAAAGGAGCCTGGGAAGGAAGGGAGGAGGGGAGAAAGAGCAGCATCCCCCCCACCACCTAGAGGATATCAGCTGAGTGATGAGGGCAGGAGCCAGATTCCAGAGGGAAAGGAGGCCGAGGGGAGAGAGACGGGGGGCCACGGACATCGACAGCCGGAGACGTAGGACGTGGGGACGTTGTTGACAGGGTACCCAGACGTCAGCAAACCGTTTCTTTGTCTCTCCTGCCTTCTTGTGGAAAAGCTAGAGAGGTGAGGTTGGGTCAGGTGGCATCGGAACTGGTGAGAGCGTGCAATGCTGCTGTAGCATCCCCTTGAAGGGGGCCCTTGGGGAGAATGCCTGGGAATCTCGGTGGGGCCGTACTCTCTGATTTTTGGGGACAGCCTGTCCCACAGCTGCCGGTGACCAGGCTGGAGGGCTGGCTATCCCAGTGGGGGGCAGTCAGGAGCCAGAAGAGTTGGGGGAGTGGGCTGGAACATTAGGCCTTGGCTAATGTATGTCAGGCAGTGCAGATTTATTGAGGACTTACTGCGTGCCAGGCACTGAGCTAGGCTCTCAAAATGTAAATCCTTACATGTGATCAAAGATGGGGCAGCCCGACTTGCCCACTCTTGTGGGTGCGTGCTCTGGGGCCGTTGGCGGGACCGATACAATACGAGCTAGCCCCAAATGCCAGTGCATTCTTGGGCCCGATGAAAGGCCCAGTGTAAGGAGTGAGGGCAGTGCCTCAGAGGGAGCGGAGGCGAGGTGCTCCCGGGCGTGGACAGTGGGCCGGCGGAGAGCCGGCAGAGGCGGCGCCTGTAACTGGCAGGGCCTTCCTTGTTTCTCCTCAGAGAGCAGACTTCCCCTGAGAAGCACCAGCAATGCTCGCACGATGACCTCGGCCGCCCCAAAGGAGAGAGGGCCGCCGGCCCCCAGCGCCGAGGCTGCCCAGAAGTTCTTGGATTCCTTCCTGCGGGAGTTTCCAGGCCCCCTGAGCCCGGAGGCGGCGTTGCCGTGGAAGGTGCCAGGAGCTCGTCTGAGCCAGGACGAGGCGGAAGGCGACCTGATTGAGCTGGCCCTGGGCCTCCTCAGCAGCAGGTAGGAGCGCGCTTCCTTCGCCTTCTCTGCATGCTCGGCGCGGAGACCAGCTGAGCACGTGGATGGGCTCTGGGCTCGGAGGGCATGAGTCTGTCTTGGGGCCTCAGTTGCCTCATCTGTGAAATGGGGATGGTTGAGCTTTTGCCATCTCCTTCATGGAGCTGTTGGGAGGACCAGAGAAATTCGTCCATAAAAGTTCTGTGTAACCTGTAACGTGTTGAGCAGAAGGGAGCTGGTGTTCTCCATTGAGGGGCCTGGCCAGTGGCTGGCCTTAGCCCCTTAGAAACGTCTGGCCTTTCCCACAGGCAGCTGGGGGATGAGCTGACCGTAGGCAAATAGCCTTCCTCCACATCTCCGGCTAACTGTTCCCCCCCCTTGGAAATTTTCCAGCAACCCACTAAGCCCATATCACTCCCGAGCAGTTCTCAGTGGCAGGATGTAAGTAAGGGCGGGGTGTGAGGAAACGGGAAGTGAGTGGCCCCCTGCCAGCCATTGTCTGGGCCCTCCAAACAGGACGCTGCCCAAGTGAAGCCCAGCAAGGGTGGTGGGGAGCCTCATGGCCCCCTGGGATGACCTCTGGGGAGCCAGGAGAACCTGAGGGGTACCAAGAATCCCCCATCCCCACAGGGACAGTTATGGCCTCGCTTGTCTTTGGATTCCAGTGACTGCTCCTAGAGTTACGTCGGTGTGAGAGCATGCCCCCCGGAGGAGCAGCTGCCTCGGATGACTTTTCATGTCTCCAAGGGTGCGGAAGGTCACCCTCCTGATGAAGCCCACTTGGCTGCCTTACTGTCCCCTCTGTACATCAGCACGGGGGAGGCCGGGCCGAGAACTGAGCTTTCTTTCTCTTTCTCTCTCCAGTACCAAGATCAGGCTGGGGCTGTCTCTCTGAGGGCACCCTTCCGCCCTCTCCCATTCAGAAATGTCAATGGGCTCTTCTGTCTCCTCCCTGCCCCCCCCCCCCCCCCCCCCGGCGGCTGACCAAGGACAGGACTCGTCCCTTCCTTCCCCCTGCCCCCACTCTCGGGGACTTTTCTCATGGAGCTTATATCCTTCCATGTAGCCGCTTGTGGCCCTCAGAGTCCACTTTGGAAGGTGGCCGGGTGTGATGTTTAAAAAGTTCGAGAGACGTAGTTTCTGGGTAATTTAGTCATTTTATCAGTAATGCCAGCATGTTTATTAACAAAAAGAGGTCAGTGGCCCCCACGATTGCTAGTGACCCCCTCATGGCAGTGGGCTCACAGTTTCTATACTCCAGAAAAGCAGTGTTTCTGAGGGTGGCAGTCAGTTCTGATTGGTTAACAATTAATGAGAAAATGAATTTTAGAGTGAGAGGCTGGGCTATTACCATGAGGGGCTTGGGGTACTTGGATCACCCAAATCTTGGTTGTAGAGACTTCTCCATTTCCACGTCACCTGTCTGACAAAAGGGAGAATCAGCCTTTTCCCAGACCTGTCTGAGCAAACCCAGTGAGCAGGAATGCAGCCATCAGCCCAGACTTAGACTTGCTTTTACTGTCTGATTAGATCTTGGCCTGGGTACATCTTTGAGACATTTCCCACATGGCTGGGTTTCTGGATGAGGAAGTAGAAAAGGGGGAAAAACCTTGGTTCTGATTCAGTAATCAGTCATTAAATACGAGAGAGAAATAATCATTTCTTTCATGAGTCACATATTATCCGCAATCTTTGCTCCACAACGCGCCCCGCTTCCCCTTGTTAAACTGCCTCCCGTCTGTGGTGGTCGTCCCTTTTTCTTCTCCGCCATCTCACCCTTGGGCCTCTCCCAAAGCTCTTCATTTTCCTGGAGGACGTTCTGCGCCAGGGTTCCTCTTGGTTCCATAGTCGGGAGCAGGACTTTGCAGCTCCTCGGGAAAGTCCTAAAGCCTGAATGGGGTCACTGATGTTTGGGAGAGAAGAGTTTGGTTTGGGTTTTCCTTTTTTCCAGGGTTGGTGGTTGTCTTTATTTGTCTCATTTACATATGCTTCCCACGTACTTTATTTTAATTAAAATTTGACTTTTTGAAATGCTGACATTAAGAAGTACCCACTAAAGTGAGGAGTTCTCCTGTGAACGCGGAGAAGGGAAGAAGAGGACGGTATCCAAGTGCCCCCATCTCTTCTGGCGTTCATTGTCTTTTCAAGAACGTTACAAATGCATCATGTAACTTATAGAAACTGTCCTCTGGTCTGGGGCTCCTTGTGGCCTTCCTTCTGTTCTTTTCTCTGCATTGAAACATGCTCCAGTCATCCTCTTTCCCCTCCTTTTAGGGGGCACTCTTGGGGTAGGGAGACGACTCTTTCTAACAAAGTCAAGCAACATAAGTTTCCGCCTTTGACACGTCTGAGAATCTACATCTCCTTCTGCAGTCTGGTCCGGAGAGGACCGCTTGAACGCAGCTGCTTAATGACTACCTGAGTTATGAAATGAAGTCGACCGCCAGGATGCTGCCCGGGCAGCATGTGGCATCTGTACTGCGTTTGTTGGTGTTTGAGGCCTTTCCGGTGTCTGTGTAGCCGTATGTCTCTCTCTTAGCTTGATGACAGGCTTTGCGAGAGGCCAGAGACAGACGACCAGGACAGAGCTGGGACCACACAAGAGAGCCGTCCCTGCCCTCCAGAAGGTGTCCCTCATAGCATAAGCAGATGCAGAATACCTACCTACCTGGCAATCTCAGGTGGGGAAGTCTGCACAGTGAGCAGCAACGGCCTCCTGGAGGATGTGGCAGTTGAGTTGAGCTTTGAAGGAAGCCAGAAGTGAGGAGGGATAGTCTCCCAGGCAGGGTCAGCAGCCTGAGCAAAGGCCTGGAGATGCAACAGTGAGGCTTGTGGGAGCTCAGATTGCCTGGACCTTGGCGTGTGGGGGTGGGGGAGTGATGCATGACCAGCTTGGAAAAGTATGCTGGAAGGGGCAGCGAGGTGGCGCAGTAGATAGAGCACCAGCCCTGAAGTCAGGAGGACCCGAGTTCAAATGCGGCCTCAGACCAAACACTTGACACTTACTAGCTGTGTGACCCTGGGCAAGTCACTTAGCCCCAGTTGCCTAAAAAAAAAGCGGGCCAGAGCCAGGTGGCAAAGGGCTTTGCATGCCAAACAGAGGGTTTTGTATCTGATCCTCGTGGTAGTAGGGAGCCCCAGGAGTCTGTTGAATGAGGGGAGTGGCGTGGGTCGGCCCTGAGCTAGAGGAAGAGCACTTTGGCAGCTGAGTGAGGATGGACTGGCGTGGGCAGAGCCGCCAGCAGTGATTGCCATGGTGCGGGCAGGTGGTGACGAGGGCCGAGTCTGAGCAGAGAAGGGCATCCACAGGGTGGCCCCACTGGGTGAGCGTGGCAGCCAGCCGGGATCTCAGGGCTCACCATTTCCTTTTCTAGATGGCAGCTAGCCGGCTGTTGTGGAACTTTGCAGTCAGGTCCTATCACCCAGCCATGTAATGGGGAGGATCACACCCAGCTGCCCACCTGACAGGGCTGTGGTGTGGCAAGCACATTATAATCCTGAGGGCCCTGACCAGGGCCAGGGCCTTTGAGCCATGGGCCGTGCCCCTGGCAGGTAGGGGGATCATTGCTGTGTGTGTGTCTGCCTCCCTTCCCACATCACGTTTCCTGCTCCTTCCTTTCCAGGAATGCGCTGTTGCCGCTGGCGTGCGCGCTGACCCACGAGGCCGTTACCCAGCTCATGCAGGCTGACCTGTCCGTCTTCAGGCAATTGCCCAAGCTAGAGAAAGTGGAGGAAGAGGAGGAAGATGGGGTCAGTGTCTCCTGTGAGTATCTTTGCTCTGGCCTTGGGGGCAGATAAGTCTAGGACTGTCCCATTTTACAGACGGAAAAGGGCTCAGAGCCTGCTGGTGTGCAGGCTCCCTGAGGCGCGACCACCCGGCCTGCTCTCTAGTGGAGGGTAGCAGCCCCGGTCGAGAGCCTTTGCTCGCACCAAGCTTGCGTTCGCCGTCTGCAGCTCTCGCCCAGTGTGGAGGCTGGTGCCCGCGCTCCCGTAGCGCGTTAGGATTCGCAGAGCCCCCATCTCATCGTCCTCCCCTGCTGCCCTGCGGTCAGTCAGCAGGCGATGGTCACTTCCCCGAGGCCGAGCCCCGTCCCCGAGGCCGAGCATCTGCAGATCAGGAGCCGTGTCCGGGCCCTTCCCAGTCCTGCCTGCTTTGTAGCTTAGCAGGCTGCTTCCCAAGCCGGGCTGCCCAGAGCTCACGCGGCGTCTCCTCTCGGGCAGTTTGGCTCAGCGTCACAGCCGGGCAGGACCTGCAGAGTGTCAGGCTCGAGTGATCCGCCATCCCAACGGCCACGCCGTCTCTTCCTTCTCCCAAGTAATTGGCTACGTTTTAAAAAGCGATGGCGCCAAGGGCGGGTCCCGGGGCCCTCCCCTGGAGACCCCCTTCCAGAGAATTGTCACCAGCGCCCAGCGTTCTGAGGCCACATCTCTGACGCTTCCACGAGCTTAGCATTTTGTCCCGTGCTCAGCTGCGTTCCAGGTACGCTCTAGCTGCAGCATTCCCATCCGTTGTCTTGCGGATCCCTGCCAGGGCAAAAAGGCAAGTTAGCCTGGACTTGGTGTAAGAAAGAACTGGGTTTGAATCCCACCCTTGCTGTCGGGGTGACCCTGGTGAAGTCACTCTCTGAGCCTCAGTTTCGTCATCAGTAAAGTAAGGATAATAATAGTAAAGCATTTGATGATGAGGTGTAGTGAGTGGTAGTCACTGGAGAACTGGCCCTGGAGCCAAGAAGGCCTGGGTTCAAATCCCACCTTTGACACATCTAGGCACTGTGTGACCCTGAGCCCACTGCCTAACCCCTCAGGGCCCTGGGCCCCTGGACTGTGTCAGAGAAGCCGGTGAAATGGCAGGGCCAGCCACCTGAGAGGGCGGGGCCGGGACTGGGGAGCCCTTGGCCGGCTTTGGCGCACTGTGTTGGGGTGATCCCCACACGCGTGGCTGGCTGTTCGTGGGCTGTCCCTGGGGGAGCATGCTGGAGGGTTTGGTGCCAGCCTGCCCCAGGCCGGTGGCACCACTCCCCTGCCCCACAGGCTGTCCGTGGTCAGCTCCTGGGCCTCGTGGCTGGTGTTGATCCTGGGAGCCGGGGCTTCTTCCTGCCTCCCCCCTCTTCCTGGCCTCCACTTCCTTAGAAGCCACTTTTGTTCCTTCTTTCCACCCAGAGGACAGAGACCAAGGAAGCAGGGAGTGGCGCTGCCTTCCCACAGTGGCTCGCCATCGTCCTTCTGAACTTGGGTCTTGGCTCATCCTCTTTTGCCGTTAAAGCTAAGAATGCCCCAGAACCACCTGCTCATGTGCGTCATGATCCTGGCCGGGCCCAGCTCTTCCTGTGCTCGGGCGTCCCTGACACACACTTTTGTGTCTGTCCTCTCTTGCCTGGCCTGGCTTCCATCCTCTGGGGGGGCTTTAAAGAACTGAATTCCCTAGACACCTCCCTAAGCAACAGAACAGCAATCTAGGCATCCGTGGACGGCTGAGCCTCCACTCTGAACCTCAGTGTCCTCGTCTCCAAATGGGGATGATGATTGCTGCGGCAGCTGCTTCCCGAGCTTGTCGAGAGGCTCAGAGGAGGCCGCGTGCAGAGAGGCCGCCAAGCACCGCCGAGCGAGCGGCGCAGGGCAGGGGGCAGCCCACGCTGCTGTTTCCGCCTCTCGGAACCCCTTGTCTTCAGACTCGTTTCTGAGCATTCTGTATCCCTCTTGGGATGGCTTCGCCTGTGAAGCCTCAGGTCTGAGGTTCCTCTCATCCTTCTGAACCGTTTCTCTCACAATCGACTCTTGTTGAACTTTTCCTGACTCTTTTCTCCTTCACTAATACAAATTCTGCCATGGGAGGTTCACATTGCCCCACCAGTTTTCTTAGTCAGCATTTATTAGGTGCCTGCCGCGTGCCAGGCATTGTGCTCAGTGCTGGGGATACGAAGGAGGCAGAAGACTGTCCCTGCCCTCAAGGAGCTTACAATCTAATGAGGAAGACAACGCAAACTTAATATGGGATGATTAGGAAATAATGACCAGCGACGGTTAATAATTAGAGGCCGTGAGGCATACTGGTTAGGAACCAGACCCACCCCCATCCCACATGAGGCTCCGTGACCCCTTCCCCATGCCTCAGGGCCCACTGACTGGACTCTGCTTTGGAGGAGGGCCTGTGCTCCCCTGGGAGTTCCGAGTGCAGCCTCTCTCCTGTCCGTGCACTTGAGCACACAGGTCCTCCTGGGGTGAGAGGCAGGGCCAGAATTGCTGTTTTTCTCCATATTTTGAAGGATGCCATGATCATTTAGGCGAGCCAGGACCTTGCGTCCTGTGTTAGGCAGAAGGAGGCTCCAGCAGAGAGATGGGGGACGTTAGAAACTGCCCGTCACATCTGGGCTGGGTCCCTGGGGGCGTGATGCCTGCCAGGTGCCTGGCCTGCTTCTAGCATGCCTTGTCTTGCGGCCTGCAGGACCCTCTCCTATTCTCTGTAAGAGAACGCTAAGATTGATGTCTAAAGGCCGAGGACCTCGGTCTCAAGCTTCTGCCTCCGTTGATGTTCACTCATGTGGCAGTTCTTGGATTTTCTTGCAGGAAGATATCTTGATGTGCGGGCTATTCAGCACCCCTCCCCCCCCAGCCTGTCCCATTTGTGTAAGGCAGCACTTCTGAAACTTTTTTTTTACTCTCTTAAAAATTATTGAGGACTCTCCCTCCTAAAGAGCTTTTGTTTACATCTCTCGATGTTTACCATATTAGATATTGAAATGTATTAGTATTCTGAAATAGTTTTGGCCTTGCCGATGCCCCTGGTTCCTGCAGCGACCCTCCCGAGCTGTATTCTAATCCCGGGTCCGGTCCAGTCGCGCTTTAGTGATCTCTGTGATGTCAGAATTCCCACTTTGCTTGGGAGCCTGCCTTGGTGCGTCTGTGCTTAGACGTCTGAGGTCATGGGGTCTTTGAGAACTTCGGGTCCCTCTCGTGGGACTCTTCCCCCTCTGTAGCTTCTCTATGTGGGCCCTGGCTCAGGGGAGATCCAGAGGCAGCTTTCTCAGTCCTTCTTCCTTTTCATTTGAACTCTTGGGTGGATGGCTGTCTTGGTAGTGGTGTGTGTGTGTCTGCAGGCAGACATGCCTCGCCTTCTCTGTCTCTGGCCGGAAGCCGGTCAGTCCCGCTCTGCCCCGCTCCCAGATAACATCACGTCCCACGTCGGCCTCTCTCCCCCTGGCTGTCGCTGGGCAGCAGGGATGCAGTTGTCACTCACATTGTGCGGCGGTGGGCCCTCACTTCTCCCCCGTGATCCTGCGTTCCTTGGCCTTGCCGGCCACACTGCACATTCCTCCTGGCAGGGTCGTTCACGCCTGCGTGAATCTCAGGCGATCCCGAGATATTGCAGCATCACATCAGATGGTTCTAACCTTCAGACAGAGGAGCAGATGGGACCCGAGGTCACATTGGGCCCAGGACCAAGTCCGGCTGGACTGGCAAGGGTGGAGTTCCGGGCACTGTGTGCACCTAGGAAACTGAAGGCATTGGCCTGGTGGGCAGTTTCATTGTTGGCTGAATCCCATGTCATCAGATGCTGAGTGTTCTTTCCAGCAGTAAAGTGTCGGCCCCTTGAGGGCATGGGTCGGTTTTTTTTGTCTTTGTATCTCCGGTGCCTGTGAAATCAATCAGCACACAGTAGGTGCTTAATGAAGCCTTATTGGAGTAGACTGGATTGAACGTCTGTCAGCTGGTACGTCCATTCTGGGGCGTCAGGATAACCACATTGTTGGCATAGAATGCCGTAACCATTTCCTTATTTTCTTGTCCAGTGTCTCCTCCTGACCACTTTGCCCTGGAGGCTCAGCCACCTTGCTTGCCTCCCAGGGGTGGTGCAGACTGGCCCTGGCAGCGGCTCCTGCGTCCAGGACCTCGAACTGGATTGTCCCCGCTTTCCCTGTGGGTCTGTTGTGATCCCTGGGCTGGGTGTGACTACATTCTTTCCCATGTTTTTCTGAGTGGCGGAAGTTCTGATTTTTTGTTCCAGATGTGATAGTGGGGCATGTGCCCCAAGTGTGCTGACTTGTACTGGCTGGCAGAGCCGAGGGGGTGGGAGGACACACAGAACCCCTGAGAAAACAGCCCTGGTTGTGGGCTCAGCAGAGGCCCTGACCCTCAGGCCCCCATCCCGTTTGCCCAGGAAAGCCTTGGTCCGTCCTCTCCTCAGGGCCCCCTGCTGGTGGAAGGTGAGGCTGCTGAGTGCCCCTCCAAGATCAAGCTGGTGACCCAGGACCCTGTAAGACCTCCACCCAGGATGGGCACAGCCCGCCCCTGAGCCCTGGCACAGCCCCTCTGCTGGGAAGGGACAGGTGTTAGCAAGTAAGCCTTTATTAAACACCTACTGTGAGCTGGGCTTGTCCCCGCCCGCCCCCGAGGAGCTTACGTTCTCTGGTCATTCAGAGAGATCCCTACGCATCCACATCTGGACAGAAAGGCTAGCTCTCCTCCAGGTACTTCTCTGCTGTGGAGGAACGACCTAATTCTGAGTTTTTGTCTGTCACTGAACATGAGACCCCAGTAATTCACAGCAGGAGAGGGGAGTCGAGGAGCCCCCCGGATCTGGGGACATCCTGCCCGTGGTTTGCTGAGGAGCCGGTAGCGCTGTTCCCGGGGCTGCAACTCAGCTTTGGCTGCCTCGAGCAGGGCCCTGTGACTGAATCCAGACTTCACAGAAATCCCCTTAATAAAAGGATTTGTTCCGTGAAATCTGGACAGTGAAACGGCCGTGCCCGAGGACCCAGAGGGCCACATGTGGCCTTGAGGCCGCAGGTTCCCCACCCCTGCAGGAGTTCTGTGGGTGTCCCGCAGGGTCATCTCCCCAGGCGCCCCTCCAGGGGAATCGAGTCATCCTCCTCTGAGGTCTTGGTGTGGGACAACGTGGCCTTCCGATTGCCAGGGCGACCCTTTCTTCCTCCTCTCTTCACATCCTGCGTGCACTTAGTCACCAAGCATTTCTGAGATGCCTGCTGCGTGCCAGGGTTCAGACACTGTCCTTATGACTCGCGTCCTGACGGGAGCACAAGTACCTCTGAAAGCATTAACAGCATAAATATAAAGAAACACAAGTGTTTACAAAGCAAGTTTACCAAGTCCAGTGTAGTTTAGGAAGGAGGGCGCTGGCAGCGGGGGAAGCGTGAGAGGCTCGGTGGAGATAATGAGGAGGCAGTCTGCACAGGCGTGTGGAGACGGGTGAGGGGGCGACGGGGAGGGGGAGTTTGGCCGGATCCCAGAGACGGCGAGAGGCCGTAAGGATGCTCAGTTGGGGCCGGGCTGTGAAGGGCTTTAGAAGCCAAGTCGACATTTGATTGTGGAGGTAGGAGGAGCCCACTCAGGGTGGTTGGGTAAGGGAGTCACCTGGTCAGAGCCGGACATGAGGAAGATGACCGGCAGCACCTATGAGACGGACTAGAGGCACATCAGGAGGATTTTGCCACAACCCAAGCGAGAGGAGATGAGGGCAGGCGTGTGAGCGGAGAGATGGGGTCAGAGGCAGGAGGCGGCGTCTTGGACAGAAATAGGGACATTTGGGAGTTGGGAGGGCTTGGGGACAAAGACCTGGGAGTTGCCCACGGTATCCCTCACCTCTGCTCAGAGCTTCCCGGGAGGAGGCCTCCGTACAGGAGCAGCCTGTCACACGGAGGGATGGCTCATTGTGAGGACAGCTGACACCTCGCTGTCCTTGCGGCAGGCAGAGCAGGGGTCTTGGCTCTTCTCCATGACAGCTTCTCACCCCGCAGTCCCTTGTCCAGCCATCACCACACGGCAGAGTCCTAGGCCTCGTCCCGTCCGGTCCTCTGCTGTGGCAGGGCCCGCCCAGAGAGCCTTGTGCCAATGCTATCCCCAGGAACGTGGGAGGCAGCCTCTCGTCGTGCCTCCCGGCATCTTCTGCTGCCGGAGGGGACTTTGGGGCACAAGGTCAGCATTGCAGTCCGACGGATCAGGTCACCTTCGTGGAGTCAGGCCCCCATCCAGCCTGCCGAGGTCTTCCCGGATCCTGCCAGAGCCGGTTGGAGCTCCCAGCCACGTCTCCCGTGGTGGACGCCCCACGCTCCTGCTGCGTGTTTGTTGTGTTCTTCCACGTGACCGGGACACGTGCATCCCCCCTCGGTCACCACCTTGACCGTGGTCAGGGCCTCAGGGGAGAGCTGGGCCAGGCCTGTACCTCCTTCCCCTGGCTCTGCCCCCTCCCTCAGCCCCTCCAAGGACCCAGCGCCGCCATTCTCATTCTGAGCAAATGTTCCAAGACCCAAGGAGACAAAACGCTTACCACAGGGGGACTGACCCCGGGCTGCGGCTACCCCGGAAACCCCAAGCTCACCCCTCAGAGGAGTATCCTGGCTGTGGACGCTTGACTCAGGCTGGCCTTTTCATTCTTTTTTTTTTTTTTTTAAGGCCATTGGGGTTAAGTGACTTGCCCAGGGTCACACAGCTAGTTAGTGGCAAGTGTTTGGTCTGAGGCCTCCTGACTTCAGGGCCGGTGCTCTATCCAGTGCACCACCTAGCTGCCCCTGGCGTTTTCATTCTTGATGACAGCTTGTGACCACCACCTTGCCTCTCCCACTGCCCATGTGGTCTTTTGGGCCCGTGTCTGGTCCTCAGCTCCCATGCTGGGATCACAGTGGTCACCTGCGGTCCCCCTAAAGTGCTGGGCCTGGCTCTCAGAGCTGCCGTCGCCACGCACGCTGAGGCTGGTTTTCCGAGGCTGGCCGAGCCCTTTGGAGCAGCCTGCCCAGGGAAACCGCCCGCCCACTGTTCCCTCGGACAGACGGGCCCCTGGAGCCCACAGCAGAGTCTCAGAATCACGGAATTGGCAGAGACGCCAGACACCACGCAGACCAGCCCAGATGTGGAAGAGAGTCCCCTCTGGGAGTTCACGTGGGCTGGCAGGTGGAGCACTGGACGTGGAATCAGATCCCAGGCCAGACTGTCCACCTCCAAGCTTCGATGTCCTCATCTGTAAAATGGGTACAGCGGTACCTGTTGTACCCTCCCCCCAAGGGATTGTTGTGAGGCTCTGATGAGATCATGGGTGCACGTATGTGCGTGTGTGTGTGTGTGTGCAGGCACACACGTATAAAGTGATACATGTGTTGGCAGTGAGAACATTCCTTAGCCCAGCTTTCCAGTTTTATTTCTCTCTTTATCCTCCCTCTGTGCCCACAGAACTGGACAGCTGGCTCTTCCCCAGGTATGTCAGAACAGGCCTTGGAGCAAAAACACCAGCCCTGACCCCTGCTCTCCTCCCTGTGTGACCCGGACCACGCCCCTGCCCCACCCCAGACCTCTGTTTTCTTGTGCTTCAGAGGAGGGGCTTGGTCCGGAAGACCCCTGCCGGGCCCCTGTGACCCCTGAACCCTAGGGCGCTGCCACCTCCCATCCTGCAGGTGCAGCCCAGGTGCCCCCGTTACCTGGCAAAGAGGATCTCTCCCAGCTCATTGAACTCTGCCTCCTAGCACTCACTATTTCCCCCCACTTCATAGTATTTTATTTTTCCCAATTACTCGTAAAGATAATTTTCACCATTTCACTTTTATAAGATTCTGAGTTCCACATTTTTCTCCCTCCTTCCCTCCCCTTCCCCACCCCAAGACGGCGTCCAATCCGATACGGGCTCTATGTGTGAGATCGTGTTAAACGTATTTCCACATTAGTCATGTTGTGAAAGAAGAATCAGAACAAAACGGGGGAAGCCATGAGAAAGAAAGAAAAAAGTAAAACAGTCTGCTTTGATCCACATTCAGACTCCATGGTTCTCTCTCTGAATGTGAATAGCATTTTCCATCATGAGTCCTTTGGAATTGTCGTGGATCGTTGTGTTGCAGAGAAGGGCCAAGTCTGTCGTAGTGATCACCGCAGTGTGGTTGTTGCTATGTCACTCGTTGTTGTACACGTTCTGACACTTCCCTGTTCGACTTTATACTTCTCGGGTACAAGGACTGAGCCCTCAGGGAGGCTTAGCTTGGGTCTCTGCACACATTAGGCACTTGATAATGTTCCCTAGGACTTAGAGTTGGAAACTGAGTCAAATGGGGGAATTAATCTGGTTCATAGCACTGGAAAGCTAGAACAGACCTTGGAGAAGGTGCAGTCTGGTTTTCTTGCTTTATAGAAAAGAAAAAGGAAGCCCAGAGGTCCGAGCTCTGAGGCCCCTGGTTGTCCAGCCTGGGTTTTTTCCCACCAAATCCCCGCTGCCTGAGCTGAGTGGACAGAGCCTAGAGCTTAGGCTTGGAGACCCTGCCATGGGCTCATGGCCTCATCACCTCCTCCCCCTGGTGGCCCCTCTCTGGGGTTCTGTCGGCTCACCCGTCTGATGGGCTGATGACAGAGCCCTTGGTGCTCACTGCCCAGGCTCTGAGGCGCCAGGGCCGTGACCTTCCCTTTGTCTCCTTTACCCAGTGCTGGATGCAGAGAGCCTGCAGCGATGTTTCTTCGGTAAGCTTTGGGAAGTTTGTAGCCAGTGGCAGAAGCAGATGCCAGCCCCTTCCAGATGCGCTTCTCGTTCCTGGCTGACTTCCATTCATGCCATCCGAAATACCCGCCGCAAGATGGAGGACCGCCATGTTTCGCTTCCCACCTTCAACCAGCTCTTTGGTTTCTGTGTAAGCATCTTGGTTCCAGCTCCCCTCACAGCCCTAAGCCCTGGGAGGGGAGGAAGGGGGGACAATTGTCAGGCATTGGCAGAAGCAGGGGACGTCTCTTTGCACAGTTAAGGCTGGCCCTGCCCATTGAGAAGTTTTTTAGGGTAAACTGAGCCGCAGGGGGGTTGGGTGAGGAATGGGGGTTATGCCCAGGGAGTCTGTGGTGACCATAGACTAGAATCAGAGTTTTAAATTTGGGAGGGACAGCAGAGTCCATCTGGATCAGCGTCCCACTCAGTGTAAGGGTCTCCTGAACAACGTTCCTCCCAAGCGGTCCTCCAGCCTGATTTCCATCGAGGAATCACTGTGTGGAAACTTAACACACAGTGTCAGCACAGACTAACATCTGGGGACTAGGGAACCAAAATCTGTCTCTCTTAACCTCTGGAAGGGTGCTTTGTTGTTGTTCAGTCATGTCCAGCTCTTTGTGGCCCCATTTGGGGTTTTCTTGGCAAAGGTGCTGGAATTTGCCACGTCCTTCTCCAACTCACTTTACAGATAAGGAAACTGAGGCAAATGGGGTTAAGTGACTTGCTCGGGGTCACAGGGGCTGAGGCGGGATTTGAATTTAAGAAGATTATCTTCCTGACTCTAGGCCTGGCGATCTATCCACTGCACCACCCAGCTGCCCCAGAAAGGGTGCTTGACACATTCTGACATTATTCTTAATCATTTTACCATAGAACATAAGAGTGAGAAGGGGCCTTAGAACCTGGAGCAGAGAATGTCAAAGCCAGGAGGGCCCTCAAATCCTAGAATGGAGAGTGTTACTCTTACACTACCTTCCAGTTCAATCTAGGCCAACCTACTGATTTTACTGAGGCAGAAAATGAGGCTGGGGGTAGATATGGACCATGGACGAGTTGCAAGGAGAGTGAGTGACGGGTGCTGGGCCAGAACACAGCCCTCCTGACCTCTGTGCTTCTTTCTTGCTGACCCAGTGCCCTTCTCTGAGATCTCCGAGTGATAGCCAGTATGTCCATGAGGAGTGGAGGCTCCCTCAAAGAGGCCTTTGCCAAACCAGTTCCTCCCAGGGCAGGGGGAAGAGAAAGAAAGGGCTGCCATTGGGAGGGTTCACGTCATGGATCTCAAAGTCCTTCATGGGTACACAACCTTATGACAAGGATCTATTCTTCCAAGCAGGACCTTCCTGAAAGTCACAGGGCTATGGGATTTTAGATCTGGAAGGAACCTTAGAGATAGTCTAGCCCAACTCTGTCATTTTATTGATGAAGAGGCTGGGGACCAGGCCACCCAGCGAGTCAGTGGCAGAGCCACGATCACACTCAGGACCCCTGACTGCCAGCCCCGCTTCACAGAGACGGGAGGTTTGACGACAGGAAAGCAGCTGTTCGCTGGTCTGCGTTGTAAGGCCTAGGATAGAACAGTCTGACTTGATAAACACTGTCTGCCGAGGGAAGGTGTGGCTCTTGAGGAGAAGGCCTGGAGCAGCCATGAGGGTGAGCATCCAGGCCCCTGGACCACTCCTTCTATGCTGAGTGCAGCCCAGTGGCCCAGGGCCACTAGCAAGGAGTATTTCCTTGCACTGATGGGCAAGGCTGGGAAGGGTCCCTCAGCAGATCTCTGCCTGTGGGTCTGTTTCCCTAGGACCAGGTGGATCGAGCCTACTTTGCCGTTTTTGATGGTCATGGAGGTGTCGATGCTGCCAACTACGCTGCAGTCCATTTGCATGTTAATGTTGCCCGGCATCCAGAGGTGACCAGAGACCCCGCAGAGGCCCTCAGGGCAGGGTTCAAGCAGACTGATGAGATGTTCCTCCGGAAAGCCAGGCGGGAGGTGAGAGCCATCAGGCCAGACACAGGCTTCATCCCCTCTTAACCAGCCTAGTGGTGCACCTACTACGGTGCTGGCAGGGGGCCCAAGGATGAGCTGACACCCCGTACTTTGACTCAGTAATACACAGCAGCTGGTTTGTCATCCTTGCTGCAAAGGAAGGAGAACAGGGTGGTGCTTTGTGCCCAGACCGTTTCTGTCTGAGCCTACGGCAAAGAAGAGCAGGCTTTCAGGGAGCTCACTGACTCTGGAAGATTTGCTGAAGGTCTGTGATCTCATTTGTCCCCTGGCATACAGGCCCCTCGGTATAGTGGCCCAAGAGCCTAGGGGCCCTGGGCTCTGACACCTGTCAGTCACTAGCTCTCTGTGCTCTTGGCAATTCTGAGATGCTTCAGGTGCAGAGAAGGGGCGGACCTGCCCAGGTAAAGGGAGTCTCCTCTGGGAGTGCCCTGTGCCACCCAAATCACAGGTGCAGCCCTGTCCCCCACCCCTTCTATAAGGTCAGACCTCATCATCCCACCGAAACTGCTCTCTCCAAAGTGACCAATGTTCTGTTGGCTGCCAAATCCAATGGTCTCTCTCCATCACCATTCTCCTCGGCCTCTCTGCAGCCTTGGGCACTGTCCATCCCTCTCTCCTCCTGGATCCTCACTTCTCTCTAGGTTTTCAGGACCCTGTCTGCCCTAGTTCTTCTCCTCCCTCCCTGACCATGGCTTCTTCTCTGTCTCCTTTGTCTCCTCCTTCAGATCATGCCCTCTCACCATAGGTGTCCCTCAGGGCTCTGTCCTGGGCCATCTTCTCTTTTCCCTCTGTGCTACTTCACTGGGTGATTTCATCAGCTCCTGTGGATTTAATGACCATCTCTATGCTGACAATTCCCAAGTTTATCTATTCTGCCCCAGTCTCTATGCTGACCTCCAGTCTTGCATCTCCAACTGCCTCTCAGACATCTCCAGCTGGATGCCCAGGAGACTCTTTACACTCAACATGTGGAAAACTGAACTCATCATCTTTCCCCTTAAACCATTCCCCTCCCTGCCCCCCTTCCCTTTTACTGTAGAGGGCATCCTCAGGCTTCCAACCCAGGAGTCATCCTGGATCCCTCACCGTCTCTCACCTACCCCCGGCCCCATACACGTATCCAAGCTGGTGCCAAGGCCTGTCCGTTTCACCTCTGCAGCATCCCTGGTCCATTTCACCTCCCTGGTCCATTTCACCTCTGCAGCATCCCTGGTCCATTTCACCTC